AGTTAGTTTAGTTAGTTTTATTTGTTTAGATTTAACCAGGTGCAAATATTCTGAACTACCAATTGCAATACATCACATAAGCTAGTTTATTTTAATTACAGCATGATTTTCTGAATATTTAAAATCAGAAATATTGTTCATTATATCAGCCAGTTTCATGGTATTATTGCTGAACAACTAATCTTTAATTAGTTTTTATTTCCTTTCAGATGTTAGTTGTAATAGTTGTTGTTTTTTAATTGTTAATTTTTAAATTAAACAGTTGAATAGAGTTTTTTTCGTTCGTTCGTTTGTTCGTTCGCTCGCTCGCTTGTTTGTTCGCAAAAACATGCGCTATAGGTGAATCGGATGAACAAAATCAGCTGTAGAGTTAAGAGTGTGTGAATATGAGAGTGTTTGGGTGTTTCCCAGCACTAGGTTGCGGCTGGAAGGGCATCCACTGCGTGAAACATATGCTGAAATAGTTGGCAATTCATTCTGCTGTGACGACCCCTAATAAATAAGAGACTAAGTCGAAGGAAAATAAATGAATGAATAAATAAAAAGGTGAAATAAAACAAAAAGTAAGTTATCTGTTCTTAACATTTGTTTGATTTTAAATATTATATATTTGTATAATGTATATATTTAAAATATTATATATATCTAAATGTAAATGTTTAATTTTTAATTAAATGTGCTATATAAATGGAAATTACAAAACACACAAATGTGAGGATCATATCTTTTCCAATCCAACAAATCCCCTTCTCTCGCTCATCCACAAGTCACAGTTTCCCTGCATCACTTTTGTTCATTCAGCTGTTCAGCCAGTGTCACGTCATGTGTGTGTGTTTTTTTTTATTTTTTAACCTCACCATCTCTCTCACTCTACACCACAGTAGCCCAACAGCTTGTATTTCCGTCTTCAGACCCCTCCGGATTTACCAACGACTTGTGCATCGCTCCAACTTGGCCGGCGTCCTGGAGATTTACTTTTATTGCGCGCTTTTTATCCATTCGCTAACAATCTAAATGTATTTTTATGCACTGCTTGCGATCGCATGTGCAGAGCTGCTGAAGTTGGACGGGGGAGGATGGGGGGGGGGGTACTCTCTTTTGGCCAGGCCTGCAGTATTATGTTGAAACCAGATGTTGAGAGATGTTTCCTCCTGGTCACGTGGGCCCCTCTGGTGCGGCACTTACATAAATGTCATCTGTACAGTAGCCGGTGCGGGCGGGAGAGAGAGAGAGAGAGGAAGAGAGAAAGAGAGAGAGAGAGGAGGCCCAGCTGCTCGCTCGGGGAAGATGAAGAGTGCAGTGGGGTCAAAGCTGCCCTCAGCCGCTTCTGTCTGCTTTTCTGCTCGCACTCTCAGACTCTCGCCGAACATGACTGAGATGTGCAGACGTCAGCTGCTTTATATGGAGACTTCTTGCCTCGTCATCGTGTTACCTGCTCATCGATGTCAACCTGACGGACGTTTTTGTGTGTAGACACTGAAGCACTAGCAGTCTTGCACTTGCTGGCAGGTGCTAGTTTAGTGTTAATTCTACTATTGTATCGAGGTTAGAAGTTTAGTATTGATGATTGAGCAGGCTGGATGATAGATATTTGTTGGCCATCAAAATGTTGATTTTATTGTGTATATGCTAGGGCCGCACAATATATCATTTCGCCATCGATATCACATTATGCCTGTAATGGTCACATCACAGGATCTGCAATGCTCAATTGGTACAAAGTTAATGACAAAGTCAAGACCTAACCCTAAACCTATATAAGTATACCAGTATAAAGGCAACTTATTTAAAACATTATACTTAGTTTAAGCATCTTAATTCTCCCAACAACAGCATGGACTGGCTCAGCTAATGGTATGTGGGCAGGACTTTTAGTTAGACCGACCAACCAATTGCAGATGAGGGAAGTGTTAAAGGAAACCTGTATGGAAACAGTCATGTAACGTTATTCTAGAAAATTATTAACCAGATTTCTTTAAAATTGTTAAAGTGAAATTATCAGTAATAATTAGTTAACATAAATACAATTTTATTATTCTTAGTTAACATCAATTTCAACATTAACAAATCCAAACATTTTGTTTTAATATTTTCATAGTAATTTTTATTGGCAACACTTAACCCTGAAGGTTTGTTATGAAGTGTTAACCACATTAGTTGAAAAGTGCTATACACTGAAAAAGATTATGTCTGCAAAACTGTTGCAAAAAATTTATTTGTGTTGAATTTAAACAAATTAAATTTAATAAAGTTCTACTTAATTTGTCTGTTTAAATTCAGCCCAAATAAATTGTTGAGTAAATTGAGTAAATCCAAGGAGTTATTTCTGAATAATTTTTTCAGTGTACTAATACGTTAATTATCACAGAAAATGAACATTAACAATTAATAAAAACTGTAACAAATGTAATAATAGTAATAATTAGTCATTTCTTTAATGACCCTTAGTTAAATGTGCTGTGACAAAGTTATAAAGACAAGTGCATTATCTCAAATTTACTAATTTTAGTTTCACATCATTTTTAAAATCCTCATTATTATTCAACACTTCGACCCACAAAACAAAACCAATGGTGTGTGGACAGGACTGTTAGACCGACCAACCAATTGCAGATGAGGGGAGTGTTGAGGGAAACCTGTATGGAAACAGTCATGAAACGTTTTTTTCAGAAAATAATTTTTAAAAAGTCTCTCTCGCTCTATAATTATTTAATCATTAGTTAGCATAAATATCATTTATTTTGTTTTAACATTTTCATAGTCATTATTTTTAGTATTACTTAACAGTGAAGGTTTGTTATGAATTCTTAACCCCTTTAGTTGAAAAGTACTATTACTAATACGTTAATTATTACAAAATATGAACTTACAGTATAAAGGCAACTTATAAAATATATATTAATAATTATTAAATGAAATACTTAATTCTCCCAACAACAGCATGAACTGGCTCAGCCAATGGTGTATGGGCAGGACTTTTAGCTAGACCGACTAACCAATTGCAGATGATGGAAGTGTTAAGAGAAAGCTATATGAAAACCTGTCATGAAACATTTTTCTATAAAACGATAAAAAAAACTCTTCCCTTTTTAAAATTATTAAATCAATTATAATTAGTCAACATAAACATAGTACTGTCGCCTCACAGCAAGAAGGTTGCTGGTTCGAACCTCGGCTCAGTTGGCATTTCTGTGTGGAGTTTGCATGTTCTCCCTGCGCTCGTGTGGGTTTTCTCCGGGTGCTCCGGTTTCCCCCACAGTCCAAAGACATTCGGTACAGGTGAATTGGGTAGGCTAAATTGTCTGTAGTGTATGAGTGTGTGTATGTGTGTGTGTGGATGCTTCCCAGAGATGGGTTGCAGCTGGAAGGGCATCCGCTGCGTAAAAACCTGCTGGATAAGTTGGCGGTTCATTCCGCTGTGGCAACCCCGGATTAATAAAGGGATTAAGCCGACAAGAAAATGAACGAATGAATAACATAAACATAATTCATTTTGTTTTAATATATTTTTATAGTTATTTTTATTGGCAACACTTAACACTGAAGGCTTGTTATGAATTATTAACCACATTAGTTGAAAAGTACTATTACTAATACGTTAATTATTACGGAAAATGAGCAATAACAATTAATAAAAACGATAACATATTAGTCAGTTATTTAATGACCCTTAGTTAAAAGTGTTGCGATTAAAGTTATAAAGACAGGTGCGTTATCTCAAATGTACTCATTTTAATTTTAGTTACAAAACAAAAGCATAAAGAAAGCTGCGGCGGACAGCCTGAAGTGGAGGATCATTTTTTTTATTGTTACTTTTTCTGTAAAATCCAATTCTGTCCTGCCCATTATATTAAATATATCTGCTATGGCGACTCCTACACTGCTAATGAAACGCGAGCGGCTTTGGTAATGATGTGTATATCTCTATGCCGCAGTGGCGTAATGGCCTGCGTCCTGGCGATTACAGCACTCAGGGCGCCGTTTTATTCGGCCCCAGCGCTCAGTAATGTGTTTGTGCGTGGTAGGCATTCCTATACCGACTTTTAATGTGAGGGCTTTTTGTCCGGCCGGGAGATTTATTCACAGCCGTGTGTAATGTCATTTCATGTTGAAACACCCACCCTATGTTCAAATGAAAGAAGCATTGATGTTCATCTTAATCTGATATACTTTAATACCACGGCATCAAAATTACTCGACTGTAAGGGCCCCGCGAGAGGAGGGGAGGTGCGCTGACATCCCAACCCCAAACAAAGACGCCGCTTGTTTTCGACAGGCAGATTTTTTTTTTTTTGATTCCTTTTTATGATTTTTTCCCCCCCAAATGAAAATTTCATATCACTCAGAAACATGAGCCTGAACAGCAACTCGTTTATCTGTGACTCTGACAAGATGATTTGGTAATAGATTACAGTTGTAAATCTTTGTAATTATGTCCTTCTTTTAGCTTCAGCCCAAGTACACGTATGCATGCATGTAGCTTTTGTGTGTTTTTTTTTTTGTTCTCTGGAGGGGACTGAGTCATGGAGAAGTCGTGCGAGGGGAAAAAAATGAGGGCATATCGGGAGAGTATGCATATGTACACACTCCTTTAAGCACACACTGTCCTTTGCCTGTAGTCAGGAGCAGCACAAGGTGATATCTTTTGTGGAGGAGAGCATTTGTGTGTGCGTGTGCGCATACACATGTGCGTGCACTTGCTGTGTGTGTGTGGGGTTTTTTTCCCCTTTCTTTTCATGAGAACAAAACCAGCCCTGGGACATTTGATAAATTAAGATATCCATTTGAATATATTCTGTGTGTTTTTCCCCCCATTTTTTTTTATTTACTCCATCTGTGATCAGATGCTTGGGATTTTCGGCTTTCAATATCCTGATATCCACTTGAAATAAATGCTGAGTTTGATTATGTCTGTTTATTTCACTATTTAGAATCAAAAATATTTGTTATTAAGGTAATAATGTAACTTTTTGTGTTGTGTTTTTCTTTCTCTCTTGCAGGATTTGCGTAAACAGATAGCTCCTTTGCTGAAGGGCTTCCAAGCAGAGGTAAGTCGTCTTTTTCTCGACTTTTAATTTACAGTTGATGTCAGAATTATTAGCCCCCTTCGGATTATTAGCCCCCCTGTTTATTTGTTTTCCCAATTTCTGTTTAACGGAGAGCAGATTTTTTTAAGCACACTTCTTAACATAATAGTTTTAATAACTCATTTCTTATAACTGATTTATTTTATCTTTGCCATGATGACAGTAAATAATATTTTATTAGATATCTTTCAAGACAGTTCTATGCAGCTTAAAGTGACATTTAAAGGGTTAACTAGGTTAATTAGGTTAACTAAGCATATTAGGGTAATTAGCCAAGTTATTGTATAATAATGGTTTGTTCTGTAGATTATCAAAAATATAGATTTAAGGGGCTAATCATTTTGACTTTAAAATGGTTTTTAAAAAAAATTAAAACTGCTTTTATTCTAGCTGAAATAACACAAATACGACTTTCTCCAGAAGTAAAAATATTATCAGACATGCTGTGAACATTTCCTTTTTCTTTTAAACATAATTTGAAAAATATTTAAAAAAGAAAAAAAATCAAAGAGGGGCTAATAATTCTTCAACTGTATCTTAGGGTGCTTTCACTCTTGTAGATTGATTGTTTTGTTCCGAAACGGGCTAAAATTCTAGCAATTTTTGTTCTTGGTAGTTAAATAGTTAAAACAAGTCTCATATGGTTAAACCCTCCTCACGGAGTTCCATAGAGAGGATGCCACTCAGCTGTCAAACGTGGTTATTTTAATTTATGATGATGAGGAATGAGACATTATCAACGAAAAGGTGCACTTTAATTTTGACACCCACAGACATCGTCAATAAATAAAAAACAGGTAAGACTTCCTCAGACATGGCGTCTTTTCAGTTGTCAAGTTTCGTAAAAATCAATCTATCAAATCAATCAATCTATTTATAAAAACAATGGCTAGAATTATGCATCATAGGCTTAAATTATAGAGAGAAGTAACAGATGAACCGAGACTGCAGTGTGATCATGAAGCAGATCAATGTTGATCTTTCTTTCGAGGTGTCAGTGCGGAAATGAACAAAACAATAGGCGTAATACAAAATATTAGATTAAAAGATTAAAATATGGAAAAATTGTCAGATTTTGGACAATTTTTCTAATGGATAAATAGTTCACTTTCACTTTTTTATTCGACATGAAACGCACATCTACCCATAGGAATGATGACATCCCATCCTACTCATAGTTATCATTCATATCGCCTTATATATGGCTATTACATAACCGTAATACACCGGTATATTGCCTGATTCATTAGTTCGTTGGATCTTATTGCTTTCTCACTACAAACGATCAGCTCCAGTGTTTATTTCAATCATGCTGATTATTTTGGCGCGGATCTGAGCACGATTGTTGGATTCACATACAGTAGGCTAAATGAACCTCGCTAACTGGGCAAATGAGACAGGTTTCAAAACAAACGTCTAGGTGTGAAAGCAACTTAAACTCTTAAAGTTTGTATGTTGTGTTTAAATAATTACCTTGATCCACAATATTTTATTGATCTTTTCATCCTTCTTTGTTATATATTTTATCCTTCTACCATTCAATACATCTATCCATTCATTCATTCATTCATTCATTCATTCGTTGTTTCTTCCATCCATCCCTCCATCATTTCATTCATCCTCCTATCAATCAGTGCATTTTCATAGTTCTATCCATCCATCCTTTTATTATTCTATTTATCCATTCATCTCCTGTATATCCATCCATCCAATCCTTTGTTCATCCATCCATCCTTCCATCTATTTCCTTGTTTATCCTTCCATCCATCCATTTATCCATTCATCCAACCATCTAATCCTTTGTTCATCCATCCATACATCTATACATCCATCTATCCATTGCTTTGTTTATCCATCCATCCATCCATCCATCCATCCATTCCTTTGTTTATCCATCCATCTATTCATTCCTTTGTTTATCTATCCATTCATTCATCTATCCAATCCTTTGTTCATCCATCCATCCTTTCTTTTGTTTGTCCGTTGGTCCATCCATCCATTTCTTTGTCCATCCATTCATCCATACATCCATCCATTCATTCATCTGTCCATGCATGAATCCATTCATCCATTCATCCATCCATCCATCCATCCATCCATCCATCCATCCATCCATATGTTCCTTTATTCATCCACCATTCATCCATATATCCACCATACATCAATTCCTTTGTTCATCCTTGTATCATCTATCCATGTATCCATCTGTTTGTCGATCCATCGATTCCTTTTTTTATCCATCCATCCATATGTTCCTTTATTCATCCACCATTCATCCATATATCCACCATACATCAATTCCTTTGTTCATCCTTGTATCCATCTATCCATGTATCCATCTGTTTGTCGATCCATCGATTCCTTTTTTTTTATCCATCCATCGATATGTTCGTCCATCAATCCAGCCAATCATTTGTTTGTCCATCCTTCCATCCATCTGTCCATCCATTGCTTTGTTTATCTATTCATCCATCCATTCCATTGTTTGTTCATCCATCCATTTATCAATCCATCCATCCAACCATTCATTCCTTTGTTCGTTCATTCATTCATTCATTCATTTATTCATTCATCCATTTATCCATCCATTCCTTTCATTCATTCATCCATCATCCATCCTACCATTCTTTTGTTGGTTTGTCTGTCCGTCCGTCTAAGATTATTTGCATTCGATACATTATTCATTTAATGTATCACGATACATTTTTACACTTCAATGACAGCTCTATGTAAGGATGAGGAAAAACCTTTGAAGGTTTCACAGTTATTTAATCAATGCAGTGTGATGAAGCTGCTCAGCTTGCGGCCAGAGAGCACTACTGTTAAACTGCATTCTCCTCATGGCTTTACACAGCGAATATGACTCTATCACGCTCATACCAATTAATCTCACAACCTTCCTTGTAAAAAAAAAAAAAAGAAAAGAAAAAAGCCTGTTTGCTTAACAGTGTAGACATCTAGAGTAAGATGGTCCTTTCTGCTCTGATTATAGTCTCGACGGTCTAAAAAGCCCACCTGCCCTAACAGCAGTGTATATCACGAGACTGTTTGTTTTTCTTGCTCTTTTTACTTGAGGTCTGCTTGTGTTGTGCAAAGCCCTCCATATTTTGTCGGCGTCTAATCAGATCAGACAGTTTTGATATGTTCTCGCTGTTTGCTGTCCCGCTCTTTTATTTCTGTCAGTCGGATGAGAGCGAAATCCTAATGATGTTTTCGCTCTGTGGTGCCAGGTAAGTCTATTTGTTCTGGGCAGAGCTTGAATGATGGACTCCTGAGTTTCACCACTCAAGGATAGAGAGAATTTTTGTTTGGTGATTCAACCTTAAGGCATAACAAGGTTTTTTTGAAGACTGCTTTGGAAATCAGAAACGGGACGACAGCAGCTCTGATACTTTTTTAAAGTCTTTAATCCATTCATCCATCCTTGTATCAATCATTTCGTCATCCATTGTTCTTTCTATATTTCTATCTGTTGGCCTATCACTCATCCGTTCTATCATTCATTGTTCTATCACTCCATCAATTTTTCTGTCCAACCATCCATATCGTCCATCCATGCATTCATCATTCTATCAACCAGTCTATCATCCATCCACTATTCTTTCTGTCTTTTTATTATTCATTGTTCAACTGTTCTAACAGTGGTTTTGTCATTCATTGTTCTGTTTTATAATCTTTCCATCTACTTTTCTATCATCCATCACCCATTGTTTTTTTCATTTGTTATTTTCTATCATCCATCCATCTATCTTTGGTTCCATCATCTATCCATTGTTTTGTACTTCCATCATATAGCTATCCAATATTCAGTGGTCATACTATCCATCCTCTGTCCGTCCTTCTTTCATCTGTCAGTCCATCTGTCCATCCATCATTGTGTATCTTTCCATCCATTTATCCATCTTTCTTCCATTCATCAGTCTATCCATCCGCCCAGCTATCCATCCATTGTTTTTCCATGCATCCATTCTTTATTCAGTTGTTCTTTCATCTGTCAGTCCATCCATCCATCCATCGTTCAATTATTGTTCCATTTGTCAGTCCATTCATCCTTTGTCCTACCATTACCATCCATCGATCTTTCATCCATCCATCCATCCAACCGTCAGTCCATTTATCCTTCAGTCCATCGATCTATCCATTCATCCATTCATCTGTTAGTCCTTCCATCATTCTTCCATCCATCCATCCATCCATCCATCCATTTATCCATCCATCCATCCATCCATCCATCCATCCATCCATCCAAGTGCCAGTCCATTCATCTGTCAGTCCATCAATCTTTCCATCCAGCCATCTATCCATCTGTCAGTTCTTCGATCGTTCTTCCATCCATCCATCCATCCATGCAATATTCAATTCATCCATTCATCATACATCCATCCATCTCTTCATCCATCATTTATTTTTTCTTCCATTCAGCTGTTCTTCCATCCATCAGTCCATCCACATGTCAGTCCATCCATTCATCAGTCCATCCATCTGGCAGTCCATCCATCCTTCAGTCCATCTATCCGTCTGTCTGTTTGTCCAACCATTCATTCATCCATCCTTTCATCGTTCTATTGCTTTTCCATCCATCTATTCATCCATCCATCCATCGTTCAATTGCTTTTTCATCCATCCATCCATCCATCATTCAGTTCTTTTTCCATCCATCTGTCCAACCTCTACCATTGTTCAATTGTTTTTCCATCTTTTAGTCCAACCATCCATTGTCATATCATTTACATCTATCCGTTCACATATTAATTGTTTGCTTGTCCATCATCCATCTGCCGGTCCATCCACCCATCCGTCCATCTAAGATCCAAAAGATTAGCTGACATTTGATTCATTTTATTTTATCTTTTGAAAAAACATTTATCATTTGAAAAATACACCATTTTATTTTAAATCATCACAAATGTCATCACATTATTTTGATTGTTTAAAACTGCTATGAAATATGAGTTCACTAG